GTCCTCTAGTTTTGAAGGCCAACCAAGACCTGTGGTGTGGGAGGAGGCACCGATGAAGGGGGAAGACTCACAGTTATGACTGGGCTCCCCTTCCCTCTAATGGATACCCCCCCTTTCTGCCTCTGGATCCTCCTACCTGTTAGTCACCCATGGCAGCACTTTGACAGAGAGCAGCTGATGTAGGGAAACACTTTCCATAGCAACCAAACATGTCCGCCCTTCCACTCGTGTTAACCCGATGCATTCGGCACACGGTTCAATGAGCAGACTCTTTGTAGATTCGAGAGAAAAACAAATGGCCAACATTGTATGTTGACTTCTCTCTCTTCAAAGAACCTACGCAGTGTTTTCCAACCGCAGAATGACGGAGTCAGTGACTTACACCCTGCAAGTGTTGCAAAACAGCAGATTTCCTTGACACAAGGCGTAGGCGTTATGACAGCTTGCACAAACATTAGCCTGCGTGGAAAAAGGTCATCCCCAAGTATACCTTCAAGTGCCTGTTGTAAACATGGTGGCTTTAGGGTCGTTGACAGTTTTACATAAAAACTTTAAGAGCTCATAATTAAACCCTTGCCATATGTTAAGGAAAATGCAAACGGAACTGTCGCTTTAATCCTCCAGTTTTATTTTTGTAGTTTTTTGTTGTTGTTGGGGTTTTTTTTTTCCATGTGGTGAAAGCAGTTGCTTTGGTGTTTTTTCTTTTGAGCAAGTGGTCAGAAGTTAAAGCCGCTGTCAGGACCGAGACAGGTGGTTTTTTTCAGAAGTTTATTTGGGAAGTCGATGTTGCTGTCACGAGTCGCTGCTAACCACTTTAACATTTAAATTGTTCTTCAGTGCTATTTGAAGAACCACTACTGCGCCAGTAGCTTCTGTGCACGGCTGCTCAGAATATGTTGCATCATTTATTCTGTACTGATTATATGGAGCAACATTTTGTTTAAACAGTTATACCTCAAACTGTCTGTCTGTCGAGCAAATCAAAGTAAATCACGTAGAAGATTTGTGCTCTTTTTAGGCCAAATATGAATTTACATAGCCAAGACTCTACCACATAAACTTTATATAAAGGAACACAAACAGTTCCTTCATAAGGTATCTGCCATTTAATGTTATCAGTGGGACCTTATTGACTTGACTTAGTCACATGGTCTGTATTTGGTCTTACCGAGCTTCAGGCATTCAGTGAAACCTCCTGAAATATGTATGCCCACTTTAGTAAGCTCATTTAGTCAGGGCCATAATTTTTCAAAGAAATCCATCCTGTGCTTTTGAGTGTAAACAACTGGCTCGGTGTGCATTACACTCTTCATCCGTCCTCTGAGAACATAGAATGCTTCTTCCTGTCCTGACTGGTCCCGATTTCCCACTCTGCATCGTGCATGCAAATCATTATCTAATCAGGAAGTGTGGAATCAGATTACTCAGATAGGCTCAAGATCTAGTGGAACCAGACAATAATGATGATGATAGTGATGATGATGATCATGATGCTCTGGGAAGGAGAGAAAATAGGCACGACGCTGTTCGTGACATCATGAACAAAAAACACCTAGAACGTATCGAAAATGAGGTGTCTTTTTATCTGCAAATAAAAACTCACTCGTAAGCTTGTTTTTAGTTTATTTATGGGGCAGTTTTTTTAAAGAGATGGAGACAGGAGAACATTTATAGGATAAAGAAGTTCAGGCTGTAATCTGGTGATCAGTAGCAGATGGCTTCTCATGATTCCTTCATGTGTCACTTTGCTGTCAATAAAAACCTGGCCCACCTGATCGGCTGCATAAACAAAGTGCTAGGCAACGGCTCTGACCTTTTGAGGGAATTAAGTGAGGACAGCCTGAACCTTTCAGAGCCCAAAGAGGGAGCAAATGGATTCAAAGGGAGTGGGTGTTATTTCAGATTATTTCATTTCATTTTCTCAGGATGTTCTTTAAGTACTCTGATTTTCCTGTTTGGTGCAGGCAGCCTTCACTAATGCCTAAACAGACTGCACATAGATGTGTGATAACACCTGCAGACAGCTGCGTGAACGGCACATTTACAGTTCGTCAGCCCGGACGGAACACCACCATGAAGTTTTTTTATTCTGTTATTCATGAGACTGGATTTGCAGCGTGTGCATGAAACTCGTCTTTAATAAGAAACAAACAAAAATGATTTTTCTTGTAATAATTTTTATTAATGATCACATTTTTAAGCATGAAATCACCATGGGTGATTTAAAGTTTGTTCATCATCAGATTAGTGTTCTCAGTTTTTCAAACCTGAATCTATTTTGTTGTTGTTTGCCTTCAAAGTCTTATTTTGCATTCCAGTTTCCATTTCTAAACAGTAATAAAATCAATTAGGAGACGATTCAAACTTTCGCATAGTGTACTTGTACTCTTGGAGAGTGTTATATAAACGGTACTTAATGGTTTCAAGTACCCATTACCGTTGCACAAGAATGTGGAAGAAGAACGGATCGATTTATAAAAAGTCTTCGCTGCATTGCCACATTATGGTAATATAATTCAGACAAAACCTAATGTAGCTCGCTGTGATTTATAGCACAGAATGACAAATACAAAACATTCTGTCATGTGAAGTATTCACGGGTTAAACCAGCGCTGGTGTAATCCTTTTGAGAAAAGCCAAGTAAATTTAGCAAAAGGATGACAGGATAATAATAGATGAGAAAATGTGTAAAAGAAAGAATTCGTGACAAGTTCAGAGGAGCCATAAAATCTTTGAACTGCCTGAGTCTTGTCAGTTTTACAGCAATATTTAACACTGTACCTACATATCCTCTCATTTATTTAATACAGCAAGGGTTCTGTTTGATTATTAATTCAATATTTCATTTCTAGATGGGAGAAAAATGGCACGTTTTTTTGCCTCAACATTAAAGAAATGGATAGTAAATCAGAAAAGCACGTGTGCTATTTCTTGGTGCCAGACGTGATGGAGAGATTTCCTGGCTCACCTAATTGTAGAACACTGATCACGAGTATGTTAGGTATGCTAGAAATTTGCTATTGATCTTATCCGTGCATTTCCTTAGGAACCATTTTTATCCCGTCAGGATGCCACTTTGCTCCCTTCCATTAACCAGTTTCTCCTCTTTCTTTAATTAGTGATGAGCTGTATGCTTTCCTGTCATTATAGAATTCATCCCCCATCATGTGGAGTCGTTAAAAGAAACATACCAAATCTTCATCCGCACTTCACGCTTTTCCTTGCTTCTGAACGACTTGCCGGGCCAGTTTTTATTGAACTTACAAGCTCTTTTTCTGTGTCAGATTCAAATTTCACGCTCTCTTTCAGCCTTCTGTGACATTTAAGTCTCTTCCTTTTGTTTAACGGGGAGGCCCCTTGATGAGCCAGTTTGGTTTTTGCAACCTCTCCACAAGGTTTTATTGTTTATCTGTGCATTTTAACACACCGGTGCATCTTCTTGTCCTAAATGAAACCAAAATACTCCCTGTAGCTGGTACTTTGCAAAACTAATGTGGGCCAGTGAGTACATGGAAAAAGACTTTGGGTGCAAAAAATCCCTAGACACAAGGCATCATGGGAAAATTTAGCCTCAAATTATTTTTGAAAGCCTTTCGGCCCAGTTTCCATTGGCTAGTCGCATACTCTGATGGTGTGAGATCTAAAACAAACAGCGTAAAAGCACAAGTGCTTAAAGTTTGCTGTGTTTGGCAGTGAAGTTGCATTTCAGTGCATCATACGAGGAAAAATGTTATCATGTTGAGGAAAAACTGTGGGCGTATGCACCTGGAGCACAGTGACAATATTGCGTTCTGATTTAAAAACGCCCTGTTGTAGTTGTTTTCTGATTAAAGACATTTTAATGTGTGCACAGTTCTGTGTACTCTTGCTTCAGCTTCAAAGAAAGTTTGGATGTTAAGAGCGATTCTCCCTGTCTATAATCATGGATTTTTACAAAGCGAGATGTGAGATGCTATCTTTTGCTTGCAGCCACGCTTTTATGTTTTACAAAGAGGCAGGCTAGCGTGCACCCACCTTCTCTTTTCTCTCCGTCTACATCTCACTGTTTCTCTCGCTGCCTGCTTGTTCACAGGCAGGCAGTTTGTGCAGAAGCAGGCACCATGTCCTCCCCCACAAACCCAGAGGTGAAGGAACTGAACCCTGTCGACTTTATCCAGCTACAACAGTACATTGAATGTGAGTACAGACAGGCGGGCAGGCAGGCAGCTTTCTCAGCGCTTAACACCCCCCCCTCCACTTCCACTTCCACCCACACACACTCATTTACACTCGCTCATGGTTTCTCATATCTAGAGGAGGTAGCAGTCTACCACATTCTCTTTTTCTGCAAATTGAGCATGCATATATATATATATATATATATGCATTGTTGTACTCCAGATAAATCTATATTTATGGTGTAATCATATACACAGATGACACAAGTATGCGTGCGTATCCCTGTGTGACCTGCGTGTCTTTGCTTCCAGACAACAACTTGAAGGTGAAAGATGTGCTGAGGGAATTCTATGCAGATGGCAGTCTGGCCCGGCACAGGCATGGAGAGGTGAGGGGACAGTGTGTCCTGCTGTTCACAGTCAAATCCATCCCTCCAAAACGAATTCACAGAGATGCCATCTAAAAGCTTCATAGCTCAACAGAATAATAGGTCTGAGAGTAGCTGTTCGCTGTAAAATGAGAATGAGATTTACGTGTATTGGGCAGTTATTAATTATCCTTCGCTGATGAATTAGATTTCAACCTGCAGTATCGATCAGGCTGACTAAGCTGTCCATGAGAAATATCGTCAGCGTATTCAAGCGAGACTGCAAATGTAAATTACCTCCTTAGATTTGCCCACGCAGCAAGGCCTTGTTTAACAGTGTGCTGGCTTCCCTCATGCAGTGTAAGCTCAGATGTGATTGAACAGCAAAAAAAAAGACTGCTCAAATCAATGGCTGATGCTGACTACTAATTTGTGAAGACAGCAAATACAATAATTTCTCAAGTATTTATTACAGCAGTGAAAGTTTATTTGCCACTTTGAGATAATTAGAAGAATGAAATGTTGTTTTTCATAATGGGAGAGAACACAGTTGCGTCCATAAAGTTACAAGTTAATTGCTGTCAAAATACAAATATGGCTACAAGACTACATTTAAATGATTTGTTGGAAATGTTGTTGTGTTTTGGTGGTGCAGCTGCGTTAGTCTCTCTCCCTTGTTTTTTTTTTTCTTTGTGTGATCCGGCTGCCTTGCATTCATGTTGTTTATTACTCGGGCAGCTCTGCAGGGTAAAAAGTAGGGAAATGCATTAGCAACAAGAAATGGGTTTGTAGTTCACCATTATCAGGGGACTACAGCTTGTTAGCCCTGCAGCATAATATCATGTGAGAAACACAGATGCCATGCCAGACAGATGGACTGAAACCTTCAAGCAGGAGCTTATTTTTTTTGGTTTTATGTCATTGTCACATGACACCCTGTAGACACTTTGTTTTGGTACATTTTTAAATTATTGATTAAATCTATTTTAGGCTTTTGAGATCTTGCCAATCCCTATTTGAGCTTAGAACAGCTAATAAAGCGACACTTGTAAAATATAAGTTTTTCACACAGTTGTTCGTAGTATTATCTTTTTTTCTTTTCAGAAGTAACAAGCATATTATATACAAATAAGCTTCAACCCATTCATTTCGCACTTAAATAGACCGCTGTAAACAGAACATGCTTCTCCCATTCATGTTTTTTTTCCCAGTGCATCAATGAAGAAGGCTTTCGTCTGTTTCTCAAGACATATTTAGAAGTGGAGGACTTCCCTGTGGATCTCTGCCAGAGACTCTTCCGCTCCTTTCAAAACTCTGAACCCGGCCAAGAAGACAGTACCAGTGAGATTATACATACGCACCGTGCATACAAACAGCTTACCGCCTTTTCAGCCGACCCTTTTCGCCTCATGGCCGATTTGGCATGCGTGCAGTTATCACCACATCCCTGCATCGTACTGTTTGTATAAATATGGTAACTAGAGAATTCACAGCCTCCTCTCTCTCCTCAATCTCTCCTGTAGAGGAAGTCTTCCTTAAAGATGTCTCATGTTACTTCTCTCTACTCGAAGATGGCCAGCCCAGGGACAAACTGGAGTGTGAGTTTTTGTTTTTCTTTTGTGCCCAAAATAGTAATGACTCATCTAGCAGCTCCACTTTCATTTCCATTCTTTCTTTAGTTGCTTTCAGGCTTTATGACAGAGATGGGAATGGAGTTTTGGACAGCTCTGTAAGTTGTTGAGAAAATCATTTAAAGTATATTTAAAACATCTTCAAAACAGCCGCAACACTAAAACAAGCCTGCTACATTTTGAACAGGAAGTGGATCGGATTATTGCACAGATGATGCACGCTGCAGAATATCTCGACTGGGATGTGTCAGAGCTCAAGCCGGTAAGTCCCAGAATATAAATGTAATGTAAATGTTCTGCATGCACTGCACTTAGGTAACGTATAGTAAATGTATGCGAAGACAGATTTATTTGCGCAAGACATCCATAACAGTGTCAGGTACACACTATATGGCACTTCTTGTTACTCATTTGCCAGAGGTTCATAAAGTGATAAGCTTCCCTGCATATACAATTTACAGATTCCAACTCGACTAGTTTCAGAAACCACATGGCCTTTTAAGTAATAGAAACGTGTGTGCTGATTGGATAATAACAACTGAATGTGATTTCATCAGGTTCTGAAGGACATGATGACAGCAATTGATGCTGACAGCAGCGGCACAGTTTCTCTGGATGAGTGGGTACAAGGAGGCATGAACAACGTTCCCTTGCTGGTCTTGCTGGGTCTAAAGGTGCTTTTAAAAGGAGCGTGTGTTGGCTCCAAAGTCCAAGCTCAAATATATTTCTTTTTTATAGCAGATATCTCACAAAGTGGTAACTACTCTTGTAAATTCCTGGCCTCGCATGCCTCGCCTCTGTCCTTCGCCTCCTCCTCCTTTTCCCTAAAGCCCTTTTTGCCAACTCACTGTTACAGGGTGTGGTAATCTCATTCCTTCCATGCTCTGCACCATCAGAATGCCTTTGTGTTTTCCGTTTATTCTGCACAATATGAATGCTTGAATGATATAGCAGTGCTTAGCGCTAAGGCCGTGTATATACAACTAAGGAAATAGTTAAAGGAAAGCACTTTAAGATTAAAAGAAAACAAATGACAATAAGGGTTTCCCTTTGTTGGTATGTGCTAATCCATGTAATTAAAGAAATATTTTCATATGCTTGCACCTCCTCCACTCAGAGCTAGACTCGGCACTTAAAAACTTAAACCCAAAGAGCTCAAGCATATTTGTTTGTTATTTTTGTAATTTTATTTTTGTGACTACAAGCAAAGCAGAAACATCTTTGGGTCTGATGGAATTTCTCTTGCGAGACTTTTCTCACGTGTCACTCTGACCTTTTCCTAAAATGTTTTAATCCCAAACAGAGTAACAGTTTCCCACCACCATCTGTACAATTTGTATATAAGTCTGGTATATTTTATTTTATTATAAATACTTAACTTGGCAGGAGTTACACATGCTTGCATTGACCAGTTGTGTTAATCTGAGGCTAGTATTCACAAGAGTTAGACAGAACTCTCCATTGACAATTCAGTTTTTCATTTCATCTCTTTAAAATGAATCCATTTATTATCGGCCCTATACTTTAAAGGGGTTTTATGAGATCCGCTTTGTGTTATTGGTGTTTAATGTGTTGGCAACAATATAGAGCTACGCACAGTCTGTTTGACAGTTAGCTGCAGCGACCTAAACCCACAAACTAGATTGTGTCGCCGGGTTTGGCCTCTGCAACAATGCCAGGGACTTCCCCTCCAGCTATTTCTAGCCACCAGTGGACATTTGAAGCCTAGGGTGCATGAATTCAGCCTCCTCACAGTTCCTGTGTGCTGATTCGCAATTCTGTCTACTGATCCTCTTGCAGCAAGTGAAAGGGTGATACATCCTGTCATTAAAAAAAAATGTTTCAGTATCTAATCTGGATAAGAACGCCGACCACTCAATAAACAGATTGAAACAATTTTATAATCTTTTGTTAAGCAAGATTATAGATAGTTTTGATTTGAATGTCCATGTAGAGTCACCGCCATACTACATAATGAGCCATCTCATTAAGTTTAATAATGAATGGGTGCAAAAGATGAAAATCATGCCTTGTTGTGGAACTAATATCTAAGAATTGGAAGAGAGAACAGCTTCTGTTCTTGCAAACATATATTTTTCTGCTCAAAAATCATATTCACAAAATAAAAGATCATAAACTGTTTTATTCTTCCCTTTCTTGCACTGACTTCTTCATTGACTGTTGTTTCAACAAACAGATGACCCAGAAAGACGGGCAACACCTGTGGAGGATGAAAAATTTTAACAAGCCCGTTTACTGCAACGTGTGTCACAGCATGCTGCTGGGTTTGAGGAAGCAGGGACTGTGTTGCACCTGTGAGTACAAGAACTAACCAGAAGAGGGCGCAAGGAAGTGTCTAATTTGAAAATTGCATATATTTTTTTTTTGGGGGATTAATCAATGCTCATCTGCCTCTTTGACATTTACCACAGTAATTTATATGTATTTACAAATTATGTGACAGCTGGTTTGTGTGTCGTTTTGCGCAGCCTGCAAATACACAGTCCACGGCCGCTGTGCAAACAAAAACCCGGCCCCTTGCGCCAGGACATACGTGAAGTCAAAGAAAGAAATAGGGGTATGCTGATGTCTCCATGACAACCTTTACGGTCACATGCACGGTCTAAATTTGATTTCATGCTATGTCTGAGTGCTCTTACATGGACAATTTAAAATCCATCTCACTTTTCAGGTTTCAACACACGACTGGGTGAGTGGGAACTGTGACTCTAGGAAGTGTGACAAATGCCAGAAGAAGATCAAGAGCTTGCAAGGCCTAACAGGCAAACACTGTGTGTGGTGCCACACGATGGTGAGCAAACATATCAGTGCATGACTCATTAAGGAATAAATTTGAGTAAATTATTTTCTAATCAAGGAGGAGATTTGATTTAGTTGCATTCTGGAATTGTTGTACGCATTTGTATCTATTGAATCCAGGAAGCCTGATTCTTGTGTGTGATTTGAATCTGTAAATTAAAACATTTTTTATTGTATGCTCTAAATCTGCACTGTATTTCTGAGTAATTTTATTTGTACTCTACAGCGTCACGATCAATGTGTGGACCAAGAGTCAACACAGTGTACGTGTGGGCTGCTCAGAGACCATATTCTTCCTCCATGGGCCATATATCCTGTTATAAAGGTACACAACTATCCTCAGGCACATCTCAAGCAAATGCACAGCTCAGAGAGTACGCAAACAGTGCCTCTCTCACACCAACGCAAAACATAACATCAGCCAGAGGCTGTTTTTTTCATTGGTAAATCATTCTCACCTGTGTGGCATTTTGTTAGGTACACAGTGTAGATATTTTTTATCCAAGAAACATTATGATATTTTTAACGATTTATTTACTCTCTGTCTTTATTGTTCTCCCTAAAGGAGAGACCAAATAATGTAAAAAATGGCTGCTCTGGGTCAGGAGATGACAGCGAGCTCAATACCACTCCTGACGGACAAGTGCTTCAGGTATTATTCATGCAAGCAAAAGCTTTTCATTAAAGCTGAATAACAAGAGCTCGAAAATGTACACCATGCTATTAGTGTGGGGTTTGCTTTTTATATTCCTTTAGTATAATACCTGTAACATTTGTTTATTAATCATCAGATCTGCCCTGTGCTGAACGCCCATCCTCTTCTAGTGTTCGTCAACCCTAAAAGTGGTGGTAAGCAGGGAGAAAGGTGAGCTCGGAAAAGAATATTTTACCGGAAAAAGAGATTTCAAATCCATGAACATTGTGCAACTTGGTTTTCTTTATGTTTTCTTTATTTCAGAGTGCTTCGCAAATTTCAGTTTTTACTGAATCCACGACAAGTATACAACCTTTCAAATGGTGGCCCTGGACCAGGGTAAGTAAAGTGATACAAGAGTTTTGATTTTAATATTAGATTATTTCTTACCACAGTATCCTGAGTACTTACTTAAACCTCCATAACTTCCTGTTACAAATTTCTTTCAGTTTGAGTTTCTTCAGAAATCTTAAGGAGTACAGGATCTTGGTGTGCGGTGGAGACGGCACAGTTGGGTGGATTCTCGATGCAATAGGTGAGATTGTTGGCATAAACTTCACAACATCACATGTGAAATTGATTGTTACACGCTTTGTATTTCCTTCCCTTTTTTTGCATTCAGACAAAGGCAATCTGCTGGTGCGGCCACCTGTTGCTGTACTTCCTCTTGGCACAGGAAATGACCTTGCTCGATGCCTTCGCTGGGGAGGAGGTGAGAAATGAAGAGATGAAGTGTTCCCTTATGTAAATAAGATAATACTTGCAGGTCACTATTTTCACGCTATGGCGCCACTGTCTATGTGTGCTTAGAGACAGTGTTTGCACTAATTAAATGGGCTTCAGCAAGTTCTCCAAATTACAGTTTTCTTGTCTTCATCTTTAAGGGTATGATGGTGAAGATCTGAACCGTATTCTTAAAGACATTGAGGGGAGCTCCCAGGTGCTGATGGATCGCTGGAGCGTGCAGGTTATCACTGATGAGAATCAAGAGGAGGGTGACCCAGTGCCATATGAAATAATCAACAACTACTTCTCTATTGGAGTTGTGAGTTTCTCATAAATATGTAATACAAGAGGAAGTGTTTTATTTTCGGTTTTGTAGGTCGTATAATTGCTATATTGTTTTGTGTTTGCAGGATGCCTCCATTGCCCACCGGTTTCACACAATGAGGGAAAAACATCCTCAGAAATTCAACAGCAGGTTTGCATATTTGTTTGAGTATTATGTGTCTCTAGGGCACATTGTCAGGAACAGTAAACAAAGCGAATGCATTCCTGCTTATAGCAATACGACAGTGTTTCATAGCTTAACAGATGCACAGTTTAAAAACACAATAGAGCTAAAAGACAGCAAATTTTCTCTTCGCAACATGACTTCTATATTTCCTGTTTGCCTCTGCAATTACTGCTTTTTTTAAAGCAGTAAAAGGCACGAATGCTCGAGGTGACAGCAGATGTCTGTGGCAGCAAGTGTTGCTGCTTGACTCCTACTCTTTCTAAAGCGCTGCGTGCACTAAAAGGAGAAAATGTTCTGTGAAAGTGAAGTATCACGTAAACCTAAAGGAGACGCTTTTTCTAACGGCAGAATGAAGAACAAGCTGTGGTATTTTGAATTTGCCACTTCAGAAACCATCTCTGCTTCCTGCAAAAAACTGAGCGAAAACTTAACAATCGAGGTGAGAGCACAGCACACAAGTTTGCAGTTTGCTACTTTGAAATAAGTAGCCTCGATACAAAACAGCAATCAGAGACAGCGCACTGATATTTCACTCTAACGCTGCGGTGTGCTGTACCGTCTCCAGTGTTGCGGTACTGCCCTGGATCTCAGTGGTGTGTCTCTTGAGGGTGTTGCTATCCTGAACATTCCTAGCATGCATGGTGGGTCCAACCTGTGGGGGGAGACCAAAAAAGTGGACACTAAGGGACTGACGGCGCAGGAAGAGCCGGAGGTGATCGTCAATCCAGAAATCCTGAAAGTGACATCCCAAGGTATTTTGCAGTTGACCTGTATTATTCAGATGTCTGATCTAACAGCAGTGGTGCTGAGAGAACACAATGAAATTAATGAAATTATAATTAGCAGCAAGTATAAAGTTTACCTAAATTCATCCTCACCACAAGCCTCATCTCCTGACCTGAAGTCACGGCTCTAATACACAGAAACGTGCAATAATATGTTTGTTTATTTCTGATATTGTAACGATTTCTTGTCAGCAAGTTAGACATGCAACAACTGACAACCAGCAACATCGAAAACTAAACAACATCAGGCGGATATAAGCTAACATTATGTTTGCTTTAGTGTCCTAAAGATTACATTTTCCCTTTGTTAAATCGTTTGATTACATTCCTTCAACGTATGGAAGTTTATTCACTATGTGAATGTTATCAGCAGCATTTACTGATAGAAAAGTTCCGCTTATCCTCAAACTCACGTCAGCATCAGCGTCATTGGACAGAAGTAAGGTTCACTGACTCATCGACTCACCATAGACACATTAGACTTTTCACAAAGTTTAACCTGTCACCAACTCCTTTATGAGTCTTTTTACGAGCCACCAGCAGTGTGTTCATTAAGTACTTATACTTCATCCATATATCCAGAGTATATAAACTTCCTAGAGGAATTTCACCATTAAAAATGTGTTGCGGGCACCATATATCTCTCTTTGATAGTTTTAAATAACCACACAATCCCAAAATACACGGTAGTCATTTGCATTTTAATTTCCACATTTTCTCCAAAAGACAGGGGGTTAGTGCTCTAGTCTAGTTAGTGCTCTAGCAACAGTACTAGAGGGTGTAATAAAAAAAATCGATTTATTCCAACCAAACTTCCACTGTTTCTAAATTGCACAAATTATAATAACAGTCCAATGAAACTGGAACCCATATGATGATGTTTGGTCTAACTTTGAATGTGGAGTTACTGATTTTTCCGGCCACTTGAGGGCAGCATAACCCCGTGTACGTGATTTTGACCCCTTTAAGGCAGCGGTCCCCAACCTTTTTTGCGCCACGGACCGGTTTATGCCCGACAATATTTTCATGGACCGGCCTTTAAGGTGTCGCAGATAAATACAACAAAATAAAACTAGTACTGGTACCGAAAAAAATAAAATTTATTCATAACACACGTGAAAAGACCAAGGAAAACCGAGTAAACGATAAAAACAATAACAAAATAACACTGAAAACCGATAGAAACCCTGAAAACTATACATTTCACACCTGAGCCTCAACTCTCGCGGCCCGGTACCAAACGACTCACGGACCGGTACCGGTCCGAGGCCCGGGGATTGGGGACCGCTGATCTATGCTGTACTATACTGTACTTCTGTCCATCTCCATATATTTATTCTTGGATTCTACTACAAACATATTTACTACATAATTCACAGTTAAAGATAATCCCTATTTATCTTATTTATTTGTAGCAGCCCCTCTTCTCTCTTTGAAAGTAATAGTCCATTTAAGTGTTTAACTTTTTTTTGACTTGCCAAAATATTAACACTTAAATGCATGGTTTTAGTGCATACATACAAACAAGTACCTGGTGCTATTTGTGTAATCTGGTTATTGAACGTTATGATACCGAGCCACCAGAATAGCAAGCCAAAATTTCAATGCATCTGTATTCTTATCTGCAAAAAAAAAATGTTTGTGTGTTATTTTCCATGTTCTTAGTTCTTCTTTTGATTGTACTGTAATGTCCCTCCATCATCTTATCAGAAGATTTCAGCATTCATTTGAAGTAGGCCCAATTTCTCACAGAAGGGATGCTAAGTTTCCACGTGCCTCTTCAGTGCTTGAATGACACCATGCTAACATTAGCCAACTTCTCAGAAACGATGACGCATACAGGCTGGAAGCTGTTGACATCTCAGCTGAAATCTTAAGAAGCAGAAACCAGCTTCTGCAAAAATGTTGTTGTTTTTTTCTTTTTCTTGAGGTTCTCTGCACTGGTGGTTAGTTATGGTTTGCTTCTCAAATCAGTTTCCTCCTAACTACTCATCTCTATGCTGTCAGCCAAGACCTGAGTCCAACCATCCTGCCACTGTATGCACAGAGAAATAAGTGCACGTAAACTGCAGTTGTTTGCAGGTGCATGATGATAATACATTATGTATGAATATTGATATGCATTGGTGTGCTTCAAACCGCTGCTGTTATCGATCTCCACTCTGATGCACATTAAATATGAGAAGTGGCATCTGCCTCAGGCCCAATCCTGTCTTCCTTCTCTGGACTGATTAGCCTCTGCTTTCTTGTCAGACCTCAGTGATCGGCGATTAGAGGTGGTCGGCCTTGAAGGAGCGATGGAGATGGGCCAGATTTACACTGGACTCAAGAGTGCGGTGCGGCTCGCGAAAACGTCTCAGATCACCATCAGGTGAGGGGGGAAAAAAGACACATGGACATGTTCAGACATGACAAGGCTGGTCTCTGAGCTTCAACAGTGGGTCATAGTTAAGGATCATTGTTAGCTAATTTACATAAGAAGATACATTTACATTTTAATGGCACATGACCTTCGTGATGCATTCTGTTTATCCTTCTCTACACGTAGGACAAAGAAAGCATTACCAATGCAGATAGATGGAGAACCGTGGATGCAGCCTCCCTGCACGGTAAACACTGCACAGGCACAGAAACACAGTGGCTGCTTAATGCAATGAAGTCACATGCCTGAAATGCCTGATTTGATTAGATTTTTTTTAATTTACAGATTCAAATCACACACAAGAATCAAGCCTGTATGTTGATGGGTCCTCCAGCCAAACCATCTGGCTTTTTCAAATGAAACAGACTGACGACATGCAAGTGTTTGCTGTAAATAGACAACTGACTCTTTTTCTTTGTAACATAAAATCAGTTTGGATGTGTATGTTGTAGAAAAACTGCATTGTGACAGTCAAACTTAGGATAACTATTTCAAATGTTCTGCATTACTGTAACACATAAACTAAGCATGGCATGATACAAATACAAATGTTATGGTACGATAAGTTTGCATTGTGGCAAAAATGACTCTGACCAAATTTTCTCAGTGTTTTCTATCAATACTCAACACTTGCTGTGTGAGTGCTAAGTGGAAGTGCTGCTCTGTAGAAACTTAAAGCAAGCTGAATATCATGCGAAGAGTAGAGTATTCAGCTCCATGTGCCTTTATTAGCTGTTCTCTTCATTATGGCTTAGGTAGACGAACATACAGGCATGCACTTTGAGCATAGACCATGTAGTATTGCTGTTTCGTTGTTGTTTTAAAGAAAGTCAGAAATATGTTTGTGTGAATTTGGAACCAAGACAGAAGTAAAGACAAAGCTATATTTCAGTGATGTTGAAGATACTTGAAAGTGTTTTTGGGAATAGCAAAGAGGCTGCATGTTGATTCACTGCCTGTTGTTCCCGTGTGTGTGTTTGTGTGCATCAGTGAGCGTGTATGAGTGTGACGGCATAAAGCTGAGATATGTTGATTTTAATTTGTAATTTGTTATGAGTTCAATTCGAACTTATTGGTTAAGATATGTTTAAACATGTTTATTTTTATTTAAATGCTTTATAAATCATATCATTCCAGTATATCAGGAGGATGTTGATGTAATAAGTGACTGTGTAAAGATTTTAATAAATCACCCAGACTTCAGTTTTTGTTTTGTACTTCTTACAATTCGATAATTTTTACATACCACAAGGGGGCATTGCTAACTTTTTTTAGTCCTGGGTCATGCTCTCATCAAAGTCTCTCTCTGGGAAAGACTTTTGACTTTTTTTTTTATCTTAGAGATTAATCTGTTTAGTGTCACGGATCAATAATCTGTTCAGATTTCCCCCTGCTGAATTTTTATAAATAATAAAAACACTAAATTTGCAACTAAAGGTTGGTTTGAAAGCAACAAATGTTGCTGTCACAGCAGTGTGAGCACTAACAACATGATGACACACTTGTGGAAACTCTGTCAATGGCTGGTGGTCACAAAGGTTTACACAACTGTAATGCAAACAGTCGGCCACTCAGAACATTATGTAAGACCCCAGGTTTCTAATGAAATTTACACATGATTATTTCTGCAAGGCACATTTGCTTTTTTGCAGCTTCTCCCTCATTTGAAATAACCCCAATTGATGAATGAGCAAATACTCAAAGCAGCTTTTCAATGTTATTAAAGAAAAATAAGCAGAATCGTTTCTTTTTAACTTTTAACAAAAGGACAGAAAATCATCAGTCAACTTATTATATTGGATTGATTCATAATGCATGGACTGGTAATAAACATAAATTAAAACCTTCCTGCGTCACCTTATCAGAGGATTGAAATCTATCCAAATGGTCCTGCTGCCTGGGTTCAGATCCAGCACTCATTTGCAGCAGGCTTAATCTCTTTTGGCAAAGAGTCATTAAGATTTCTAAAGACAGAAGGAAGCTGAAGTGGGTAATCCAACATTCAAACTGCTACCAATTAGTATGAGAAGCTGAGGTATTTCAGCTGATAATGTTGTCTGATATTCTATTTTCGGTCTGTTAAAAAATCAGAAGTATCGTTTTGTCCTATCAGTTGTCCCTATAGTAAAAATATTTAGTCTGCAACCATATAAAAAGCAAATAAGCGGAAACTCCGTCTTCTTGTCTCTACTAGTTAATTTTCTTTCGACTTTCTTTCTTTCAGCTAAGAAACTAACGACATTTATTTATTTCGTCTTGACAAACACTGTTTGCTGTTGTTTCAATACGAAACAGAAAAGATCCGAGGTGCACTTGAAGGCACCGCGGAGGAAGCAAGTCTCTGTTGCTATTGGCACTCATTTGTGTTCCTCAAAACAGTCCCCGCCTCCAAACTATTCAAAGGAAACAAGAGAAATTGTAGCTGGCTCCACGCTGAAGCTCCAAACTCGGTCAGCATCTCCCTCGGCAGGTTTCAGACTCTGTGGGAGGACACCAAGAAAGTTATTTTTACTTTTTTCAGTTTTCATTTTCAACAACAATGACGTTCAGGAGGCTGAAGAAGGTGAACTCCAATGGACCGGACAGCGGTCCCGCATCTCAAGACGACATTTATTTCCCTTCGTCAAAGTCGGACAGCTGCAGGACTATGGACACACCGAGCAACTCCTCGGAGGTTTACAACTACAAGACCCTGGCTTACTCCGGGGGGACGCTGCCCAGAAACTACAAAAAGGTATTGCTACTTTTACTTTTAAAAGTTTATTAGCTGAATGTACCTGCAAAAGTTTATTTTTTGGCAGGTAAACTAATAAATTAAAGTTTTATTAAATTTATTTAGTGCTTTTTTAACTTACAAGGCAAAAATCATTTACACAGCAAGTTCTGTATGTTTCCTATTAGTCCTTTTATTATTTATTATTTAAGCAGAGACTGTGTAAGCTTATTAAAAGGGTTATCAAGTTATTGTATCCAGTGAGTGGCTGGTCGGCGCCACACAGGACATCTTATAGCAGCCCATCTAGGGGCAAGGGTGCCCACCCAGACTCTGAATCTTATGTTGCATGAAACAGACTTCGCCCATGTTCTTTATGCCTTAAAACCTTTATTTAGATGAAAGTGATCTCCAATATTAAACACATGACTGATAAGAGTTTTAGTTGAGAACAGGTAGATTGTTACAAAAGCAAATTTGCATTTGATGATTCATAGAAAGTTTGTCACTGTAGTCATTTTAACAGTAAGTTGCATCAGAGCTACAGGATGCGCTACAGAGTCCGGAGGGACGTGCTTGTTTGTTTAACACTTACAGCAGTTAGTCACAGCATGCAGATTACCTGCCCGGATCTTTCGCTTCGGGCTGTTTGTCTTCTTCCTTCCCTGAGCCGTTTTGCAGTTAGGGACAGCCGTTGACTTTGGGGCAGGTATGTGGGGGTGGGTCAGTATGAGGATCAGTGTGATCATTGTTATTCACATCACCTGCCGTGGTTTGAATGTTGTGGCAGATTGTGATCTGATTAGTTATAAATTGGCCCTGAGTCTTCTTATTTCAGGGGGAAATGATTTTAACCCGTGGCCTACATATTAGTCTGGATTTTAGGAACGGTTTCAGACAGCCCTCATCCTTTAGTCCATGTTGCGTAATGCTTAATGTTTATACTGTAAATTTGTTTGGCTACTGCATCAGTCGCTTTTATTTTCCTCTCATGAAGCTGATTTCAGTAAATTCTGTTACTCAACTTGCTTTGGAGTTTTCTGCCCAAAGAGCACATCAGAGTTGGGAAAAACTCCTTTCACAGTGCCCTGTTGTGACTGAGGCATAGTTAAACCCACACACATACGCTAGTGCGCCGGGTTACAACACAGCATTGTGTACACTCGGGGATGGAGATCCTGCTCGAGCCACCCCTGTTGGTCTCTCTGGGTATTTGGGAATAAATGCACTCATTGAGACTCCTCTGGGTCAATTCTGTAAGTGTTGGGACATAAAGAAAGCAACATTTTACTACCCAGAGAGACTGTAGCACAAAGCAGCCTTTCATTGGAGCAGGATTTGAAAATGATTGAGCTGGAACAGAGGTGGATTGATTCAAGTGATTTTAGTGGAGCCTTCTGGACAGATACCTGCCTTATTTACACAGTTAGGTGGGGCAGGGACCTGAACTGCTCCTGCTGGTGAGTTGGCTTTTCTCTCAATGCTGTTATTGTGCTCAGTGCTCACCTCTGTGTCTTATTTGCTTCTTTTAATAGACTGAACTTGGTGTAAACAGCGCTGCAGTTTTTAGATTGGTTGACAGTTTGTGCCTGAAGGCAGCCAATTTGCTGTTATGCTTGTAGGTATGCGTGCAACTTGTTTTGATGTAATGAGTAAACACAGCAGCAGTCATGCATTTCTGGTTTTGTCAACAATATCTCCATGCTGGTATGCTGGTTAAGTAGCTTAAGAGTACCAAAACACTCTTGGCTCATTATTCGAGACGACTGGATGGACTGGCCGCTGATCGCTGATGTGCTCAGTAGGTGTGCCTAGGAAATGCCCGGGGCGGCGGGGGGAAATCCTCGCGAGTAAACTTGAAGCTACGCAGGTGTGTGACATGCTTCACATCTTGTTTCGTTTTCTCCTTGCAGGGTGGCGGCTTACAGAAGTGGAAACCCCTTACGCAGACGCCAGAACCACAAAGGTACAATATCCCTCATCTTTCTCTGATATTTATTTTGGACTTTTTAAATTTTTCCCTCTTACTGTGCCTTCACATGAATTCTTTCACGGTGGCATCTTCCTCAGAAAAATGATTCAGGGCGAGCAGCCTCATATCAGAGTGACTGGCAGTCGTTCGAACAGGGGGATCACTGATTAAAGCCATTGTTAAGGGAGGTTATAAATATTCATTGAGCCTCACTCCAACAGACCGTTGTACTGTTACTGTATGTCTGCATGTGACGTCCACATGCTCCTGCATACAGAGGAAGTGCTATGCAGCCAGTGGAGGAGTTTTGTTATGCAGTTTAGTTAAGGATGCAGAGAAACACAGACATTAACCTCTCACTGACTTTCACTCTTCCTTCCTCTTGAATTTTGTGTTTGACGTACATAAAAGGCTGTTTTATGGACGCGTCAGAATAAACATCATTAAGCTATGTTCGAACGAGCTATAAAACCTCTAAAACCATAAACCATACTTTTATTATTGGACTGTGCTAGAATAGATTTGCACCATAGTTTACCTCATTCTGGGCAGTCTACTTCACGGTCCCTTCCCCCACTTCGATCTTGTGGTTCTAACTTTATCTGACCTGCTGCAATTTAAGAAGTCGGAAAAAGAAAAATTCCACACACTGTTTGTCAACTTTTGACAGAAAGGTGATATAAGCCTCTAAAGGATATCCCCGCTCTTTAACATCCTACAGTGTCATACCCTGACCTTATCATTTCAAACTGACCATGTCTAATATAAGCACGCACATTGCATAAATTACAGAAACTAAAGCAACTACACAGACTCTGCTGGCTTTGAAGACTACGAGTTTAGAGATAAAACTAAAAAGCTGTGATTGTGGTTCATGTAACCCCCATCAAATTTAAAAAAGGAAAGAACATTTATGCCTCTGCTGTGTTGGAAACAGTGAAAACTTCTCCTTAACTATATCCTAGTGTTCAAGGCGACATCTATAAATGTCCTATTTTGTCCAAATTGTAGCATAAAACCCATTCATCCGCCCATTGTCGTAACTAAATGTCCCGTTCAGGGTCGTGGAGTTGCTGGAGCTGATTCCAGCTATAATTGGGTACACCCTTGACAAACCCCCCCTTGTTTACCCATCGTTTATTGAGATTGTTTGTACCGGTTAACCTTCTTATTTCTCTTGATTCTACAACTGAATCAGAAGGTGAATTCCTCCTTTAAGACTAAAAAGAAGTAGGCATCAACTGTTAGACCGACATGACTCTTACACGATCACTTGGTCTTTGCACTGCTACCTTTAAAAACGGAAAAGAAGCAGCGCTGGCTTCAGCAAACCCAGAGGAGAGTTTGTCCAGTTAACAGTGACAAAATGTTCCTTTTATCGTTTTATTTTAGGAAGGTGGTGGTCCTGGAGAAAAAAGAAGAGGAGGCATTTGGTTTTGAGATTCAGGTAAGTGATATTTGGGGGATTGGAGTGGATTTCTGAACTTCTCGAGTACCACTTTCACGATCCGCCACTATGTCTGTCCACACATGATAAAACCTAAGTGACAGAAGCTTGTACATCCTGTTCTGTGTAGGAAAGGTCACACATCAGTCAATACATCAATAGACCTGTTGATGTTAATCCCATGACTGTGGAGATGCTTTTATTTTTACTTTTTCTCCCAGCATCTGTATTTTGAGCAGTGTGGTTTATTCACATGCCTTCCATGTAATACCTGCCCTGCTCAGCAGACAGAAACTTTTCACTTTTGACCTCAGTTTGTCTCTGATCTCGCTCGTGTGCCCTGAAGCTCCCTACCTCACAATATCGGCTCTGTTACTCAGACCTCATTCTTTAAATAGTTTGCTAAATGATTAAAGCGTGTGAGTACATCCTCACATTATCGTGCTTTGGCGGTCTTTTTAGACTTCTTGGACTGAAGTACTTCTTTGAGGAAGCGATATAACTATATTGTTCTATTTCTGGATTTTTGCTGCACGTTCCCACCCTTCCTGACCAGAAGGAAGTGAGATCATGAGGACAAGTTTGATGCTACACAGTGAAAGAGACAGAGAAAGACACATTTTTGTTTTGTTTTTTTTCTCTCGCCGTCTGCCCTGTTAATACTGGGAGCCGAGGATCGAGCACATCAATGTGATATTTGCATTTGAAACAATATTTGCATGGTTGCGTGAGAAGGAAACGAGCAGCAGGCTCAGGCTGATTTGAATAGGATACAATCTGGCGGGCTGAATTCGGGAGCAGATAGTCTTTATAACTTGAATTTTATTTTATGGGATGCTTCGTTTTCTTTTTTCTCTCAGCTGGAAATTGGTTTTCTTTGTAAGGTAGAAGCTGCTGCTGCTGCAGCAGCAGCATGCTGACTAACAGTTTTGCTACTAGGGGAAGTCTATCTATGTTCTGCAGTGGTCTGACCTTCTGTAGAGGAGCTGTGGTGACAGAAACTAGGAAGAGCATGCAAATATGTATGGAAGTTACAAAAACGGTTGCCAGAACAACAAAATATTTGGCCTTTGAGTTTAAGTAATGCTCACGTCATGTGGTTAGGTTAAAGTAGCAAATACAACCCAATATCCTGGAGTCAGATTGAAGTTTTCAAAAGTTATAGAGGACATTTATTACCCTTGAGTAGTTTACAGCAATTACTTTTTGATTTTCCTTCTTTTTTTTCCCCCAATCTTGTCACTTTTTGCTTACAGCAGTTAATAAAACCCAACAACTGGTTATGAAATTGCTCATGTGATGATAGAACAGAAAGAGTTTTTACAACTGAAATTTCTTTTTGTAATTTATTATCTTTATAGCTGTAGCTTTCCAGATTATTATTACAGTACTTCCTTTTGACATTTAGTGGTGTATAGTAGTTGATTTGTGATCTGTGATGAGCGGGGCATTAAAATAACTTCAGTGTCGCGCATCAACCGGGCATGTTTCATCAGACGAGAGGAAGAAAACCTCATTTGCTTCTTTGCGTCACATCTCCGCGTGTTCAGTGGTATCTTCTTTCCTGCATTGTCTGTCATGACTTCCTCTGCCGGTTATTCAGTGGCTTTTCAGCGTTGCCACATTCTTTTACAACACGTATAAGACAGCACCTAGCATTGGGAAAGTTTTGTGTGTGTGTGTGTGAGTTCCTTTTATTCAGTGTGATTTTTCTGTCTCCTTCAGACTTACGGTCTTCACCATCAGGACCAAAACTCTGTAGAGATGTGTACATTTGTGTGTAAGGTCCACAATGACAGCCCGGCTCAGCAAGCAGGACTTAAAGTTGGTAAGCAAACTTCCTCCTTCTGTATGTTTTCCTCTTTTTATCTGAGCTGTATTTAAGCTTAAAATAACCTGGAGAAAAACTTGAAATAGACTCGAGGGGAAGCGAGCGTGACACGAGGCTTCGGTTCAGGTCGTTGTTTGCCAGCTGACGCTTGTGTAACGTGCGTCAACATAAGCACTCGTGAGTTTCTGTTGGTTGTTTAGGGAAGCACAAAGAAGACTGTATCCCTACTCATTTTTCCCAGTCAACAAACAAGCTGGTGATCGACTACTCCTCACCAACGTGGCAAATGACACAAAAGCAAATTAACTTTGAAGGAAGTGATATTTTTAATGACTGGCTTCCTTTTAAAAAAACAAAATAAAATGAGAAAAAGAAGTCAAAATCACAAACAGCTAATGTGTTATAACTAATTAATTAAACCAGAAAGTGCATTCATATTTTGTGTTTTTGAGAGACTGGGGAAAGACAAGAAAATATTTTATCAACTGAACTGTGAATTGTCTCAGTCTTTGAAACTTGTGATTGGTCAGTCACAAGCTGTCCACACCCAGTGTTATGTTTCCATTATGTCAAAAAAAGAGGGAAGGAGATTATGTGCTGCTGCTCTTACCGCCCATTTTCTTCAACCTGCGTCTGTCACTTTAGTTTCACTTCCTAAATTCCTTGCATACTCGCTCCATTGTCCCCCCCACTCTCAGTTTTGCTGTGAACACAATGACTTCATCGCAGTGGGGATTTTTTCCCTTTTTTTTTTTTTTAAAAGGTCAAAGTAGGTTAAAATCTCACAAAAGATGCTGTCACGTGAGTATCCACGCCACATCTTTTCCTGCTTTGATGAAACTGAAGTAGAACTTTGACATACGCGACTTTACAGCTACCCAGATGTAAACGGTTTAATGCCAAATAAACGCTTTTCTGCGGTCCTGTCACGAGCCATATGCCACGAAGACGCAAACTAGTCCTCCCACATTTGTCTTGCACATGTGTTGAGGTTTCATTCAGAAGCGTGCCTCATCTGGCTGCTTCATGAGGCGCGGCTGGCTAACATACACGTTTGTATCTTTGTGTTTGTGCAGGGGATACCATCGCAAGTGTGAACGAAGCCACCGTGGAGGGGTTTCGACACAAGGAAATCGTTCAGCTCATCAGAGCCAGTGGGAACTCGCTCAGGTACACAGACTCACAAAACCCAACAACAGTGGCTTTAAAACACTTTCCTCAGAATTTGTTAATAAGTATGCTTATTAACAAATTCTGAACCATGAAGTGAGCATCCTGTCAGCTCTATCAAGCGTTTAGCCACCGCGATGAGCAGCATCGCGGTGGCTAAACGCTTGATAGAGCTGACAGGATGCTCACTTCATGGTTCACCTCTCTAACTTAAAAAACAAAAGTGAATGTGTTTCACATGGGAACAGAAACCAAATAAGTTTGAACGCTAACAGAGGGCCAAATCAGGAAAGATGAGAATAATTTCTCACAAAAGTGCTGTTTTGGTTTTCGGGATTAACGTCAGAGAGGCGGTACATCCTGAATTCTGTTAAGGTAACATGAAAGATGTTAGTTACGGTTTTTCATTAACAATGCAGATGGTAAACATTTGCAATGGCATGAAACGTGCCAGTTTGCTTTTATTGTCACTTGCATAAATGTTCAGTAGGATAGGAAAACAATCAGAAGATGCTATTTCTGTTTTTGGAGTCCAGGAAAAACTCGAAAAATAATTGAGGTTAACTTAAAAAATCCTTCTGTATTGTACTCGTTTAACTCTCTTAGAATAATTTGTCTGCCTCAGCTTTATTATCTGGCACTTCGCCGTTTAGAGTCCTTATCTGTCGGTGTGCTGAGTGGGTGTTTTTAATTTGAACCACACAGTCTTCTTCAACCCCCTTCTCTGCTTGTAAAAGATTAAAAGAAAGTTAGCATGGTGTAAGATTCTCTGAGCTGATGCAGAAGAAGTGAGGCGAACCGCATCTGAGCGCCAGTGTAGACACACTTTACAGACTGACATCATCAAATTATACTTACAGTTCAAGTCAGTAAAAGCTGTTAGAGTGAAAACGAGCTCTGTATGTTCTCTCGCTCATGTTATTTGAACAGATTTGCGGCACTTGAGTGGAAACTGTGTGTTTCTTGTTCTCCCCCCTTGCTTGTAAACCAAACCCGTTCCTGTTACTAACTTTATGAAAAGAGCCTTTCATATGGTCAAGTTTTATTTATTTATTTTTTTAAATCACTGTTTTCTGCCCTTGTAGTTTTTATGCGCTTCCTGCTACGCCTGTTAACTCTACTGCCTTCTGGTTTTTCGTTTAAAGGCTGGAGACGGTTTACAGTGACTCAATTCGAAAAGCTGAACTAGAGGCCCGGCTGCAGTATCTAAAGGTGAGTTTTTCACTGTTTGTCAGTGGTGAGTCAGAACGGATGAGCGTCCAGCAGCCTCTCACACACGCGCACCTGCTTAAACATTAAGTTACACGCTGGATATAGACACCACACCTCCCTCCGTCCACACCTGTCCCTCCAGCAGCACCGCCACCTGTTACATTAGCAGTTTGTGCAGCAGGCCCACTGATGGCTGCACACATTCTCGACTCGAGCTGCCTGTGAAGTGGCCTTAAGTGAGCGAGCTTTCCCCCAAGATTACAGCAGCTGTCCTTTTTCTAATCCTCAGCGACACAGCTGCCTTGTGAGAGAATAAACCAACATTTTAAAACACGGCAACCTGCTGCCGAACGCGGCACGTTTGACGCACAAGATGAAGTAAATGTTAATGTGTAAATAAATGTGACGTGGTTGTTGACTCATTTATGAACAGATAAAAAAAAAAAGAAAAAAGTGAAATGAGTGAAGGCCGCTTATGCAACGGTGACAAGTCTAAACTTCAGTTAACAGTCTATGACATATAGATTTACCATCTTCAACTCAGTTTTAGTCTGTAGCTTCTAATTCTGTTGGTTGCCTGCTGAAGCACTGATCTAAACTGGCACCGTATTTTTATTTTTAATATTATTATTATTATTATTATGTTTTTGTTTAGTACACCTGTGGTGTGGGCTCAGATGATTTAGCTTTATTGCTTTTAAAGGTTGCACATGAGGGTGGTGGATTTCCTGTCTGTATGTTGTTGTTTTTTTTTGTTTTCCTCTTGTAATCAATTCCAACATCTTGTGTTGTCTTTTAGCAAACGCTGCATGAGAAATGGGATGAATATCGCTCACTGATGGTGCAGGAGCAGCGCCTTGTTCATGGTAGGTGATTTTTGGCCTTGTGCAGCTCAACTTGCATGCATACAGAGTTTGCATTCTTCTGTTCTACTTTATTAGTACTTTTTCCACATCCAGACAAGATTCCAAAATGTAGTCAAATTCCAGGTCACACTAAATCCCAAATGTAAAAAAACAAACCATAAATTACTTAAAAACAAGTTCACGTACATGTATCCAGAACATTTTATGTCATCCTGATAACAAACTGTACCAATCACATTACCTCCTTCTTGAGGGGGAGAGAATCAGGATGTGTATGACTGCTGCTTTGCAGGAAGTCCTGATTACATAGTAGAAAACAAACAGCTCGCTGCTATAGTCGGGAAAAATGAGGCAAACAAGACTCACAGAAAATGAAAGCAGTGTTTTTCATTTATTATTCATGCTTTCTTTACAATTGGTCAGTTTCCCATGTCCTCACGCTGCCCTTCTTCACCGCAGGTATAGTAATGAGTGACGCTGCCTTGTATGAGTCCCTGGAGTCAGCCGGTGTGTACGGCAGCCTCGGCGCTCCTAGCCCTGCGCTTCAGAGAGCCCTGCACTGCACAGGCAGCACCAGCAGCAGCGCCAGCTTTCTCAGCACGGCCACCGAGGATGACCCTCTCTACCAAACCTGCATATATCAGGCGGATGGCAGCGTGGACTCTGACAGTGCAGAAAAAAAGAAAGAACAGTTACCGAAGCTGCAGCGCCTCCGGCCGACCAGCGAGTTCTTTTCAACGCCCAAGACGCAGCTGACCCGCAGCGCCAGCACTCGCAGCTACGTCAAAGGATCTTCGTCATCCGTTCCAGGGGAGAAGCCGGGAGCCACGCTGCAGAGGAAGCCCAAACAGAAAAGCTTCCGCAGACGCCTCCTCAAATTCATCCCCGGCTTGAACCGACCACTGGAGGAGGAGGAGAGCAAACTGTGAGCGGCAAACTGTTCACAGACAGCAGAACTAAAGACTTAAAGTAATAATTACTGCCAAACTAAAGTGCCAAAGAAAACAGCAAGCAGCCCCAAAGAGTGAAGAATTTAAGACCAAAGTGTATTGGTTCTGTAGTTGCACCTCTTCCTGTTTAAATGGGTAGACCAATGGACATTTAGCTACATTCGGTAGCATTCAGTGTTTTATGGCTGTACATAAGTTGTTTTTTTTGTTTGTTCTAAGTTATTTATTTATTTTTGCATGTTCAGTTTATGTTCAGAATGAAGGATGTCCCAGTTTGTACTGCATGCACAAGTTTAATTTTGACAGCTGAATAAAACACCAATGATCATTGTAATTGCGTTGCAGAACATTTTGTAAGAAAAAACTTTAATAATGACTTCAGATGACTCAGGCTGATCAAATTTTTTCTTCTCTACTCGAGGTCACGGTTCCCAAAAATAAAAACTGTGGCTGATGATTATATGCGTATTATTTTGTGCAGAACTTGCTTGAAAAGCTATTTTCCTCCCCAAGCCACAACTGTTTGTGGGAATTGTAGCTGCCAAGCTTAAATTAGTGCCAAGACCCCGAGTGTACACACAATCTGTAATTTCCCCTGGTGGAGATGTGCTCTGCTCCATGTGATGCTTTTAAATATAGTAAGCTCTTATAATTTCACAACTCTTCCACCGTTTAAGAATCTTATCAGCCGAGTTCTGGAGGTTAGCGTGCGGCTTGGGATGCTTTAGGCTTTTTTGTGGTGTGAGATATCCAGAATGGAAGCTGTTGTATCTGCTCTGACACAGTTTATTGTTGCGAGAATGGTGAGGAATGTGCAGAGAAAGGCATGACCCAGAATTCCAAACACAACCGCTTTCTTTCAGCTCCTGCAGGCGAATGCTGATTCCTACTCTTCCACACTACCATATTCCCATGGCGGCTTCAGTTGTCCAAAGGCTCGCTGGGTGTTGGGGTGTGTGAGCGTTTGTTGGGCGGGGGTCGCTTGGAGTCTTTTCATTCCTGGCTCCCAGCTGACCCATGAGGTCATGGTGGTCACTCTCTCATTGGCTCTGTTGGGTTGATCCCTTTTGTCCTCTGCTGCTCGTTCACAGATGCATTAGGAGTGACGATGCTGGTGAGCGATGGTATGTGGACATGTGTCAAAGCCAGGCCCTCTCATCCTCGTTTTTCTAGTGAGAAGCAGAGGAAAGGACGGTCGTTATAAAGGATTGTTATGCGTGTGTGTTGGTGCTTAAAATATGGGGTTGGAGTGAATGGGCCAAATGTGTAACGAGGGTTTAATTAGTCAAGATAATTGTCTTTAGTGCACAATGTGTGGAAGAGCTATATAACAGAGATGTGGGGCCCAAACAAGCAGGGTGCAGTTGATGCTCAGCAATTAACACCACAGGAGATTAGGCTAGGCGTGTGGTTGCTGTTGCAAATATTTGCATGACACCCACAAGCTTAAAGACTGCTGTTGACATAAAGACTAAGTGGAGAATTTGTTTTAGTCTTTGCACAAGTGGGTTTGACAGGTTTGCTTCAGTTTGTGCTTCTTGTGCTTCCTGAACTAATTACTAATATACTTAACTGCCATCTCAACTGTCACCAAAGTTTATGACAATTCTTAGTAAGCTGGATTATAAACTTTCTTCCCTTACAATGTTTAAGTGGAAAAGCAGCTTCAGAATTGGAAGTAGGTGATGCAGGTACATGAAATTAACAGAATATTTTCCAGGGTTTTTTTTATATCACGCCTCATCTCAAGATGTTTCTACTCAATTAAAAAAAAAAAAAAAACTCCAATGCGGAACATGAGACTTTTATAGCTTAAATTTCCACTTCACTGCATCTGACGTGTGAGATGATGGGCCACTGGGAGCAGTCTACCCGCTAATGTATGTAGCACGATGTCACTTGAGGTGAAGTCCGGTGATTCTATAGACTGCAAGATTTGGAAATGACCTCTGGGGCCAGCTCTTGTGAGATGCCTTTAAAGGCATTATTGAGAACTGTCAGTTGTGTGTGTATGTGTGAGCTGTTTGTCCTATTCATGTCATGCTTAGTGTGAGTTTCCTCCAGACCAGGGGTGTCAGACATGTGGCCTGAAGGTGAGAACCGACCCCGAATCTAGATTACTAAATACTAATTGCTTAATAACCTCAGAAAGCATGATAATTATGCTAAGTCAATAATAGCTTCAGTTTTACAGCTCTTGGCCTGAAATGTATTTCTAGGTCTTGAGAATGTCTTTGACTGAAAGGGTAAAGTACTGCGCTTGTTTAGATTCACTTATTGTCAATGTGTAAAAAATGCACAAAGAAATCCTGCACACTACCTGGGTGGCTGTGGCTCAGGTCGTAGAGCAGATCAGCTACTGATCGGAAGGTTGGTGGTTTGATTCCTGGCTCCCCCAGTCTGCATGCAAAATATCCTTGGGCAAGATACTAACCCCAAATTGCGTTCATCGGAGTGTGAATGTGTATTAGTTGCACTTGAGTTTAGAAGTGCTTGTATGAGTGGGTGTGAATGGGTGAATGAAGCATGTTGTGTAGAGCACTTTGAGTACTCTGGGAGAGTAGAAAAGCGCTATATAAGAATCAGTCCATTTAGCTCAGGTGTGCATAGAAGACAAAATAGCATGCTTGTTCAGCAAAACACACACACACAGTTCCATATATTCTTGTATGCTTAAGATAGTAAAAATGCCCATTAGCAGTTTTATTGCACTTGTGTAAGAAAATTGTGTATATATAGTAAACAAGAAATAACAATACATAGTGTGGCCCTGGGTGCTTGTAGATTTGATGTGTTATTGATTTTAGTGTGGGTGATTTCAGAGAAGAGCTCAGTGTGATGGATCTGAGATTAATCGTGCAGTGCATGCTTTGATGGACCTCAAATGTTTGCCTGAGGGCTGACATTCAAACAGCTGATAAGCAGGGGAGATGAGTCCTTTAGGATGCAGTGTACTTTCAGCAGGCAGCGTGATCTGTTGTTGAGAGCAGAGACTCCCTTCTTATCTGCTGCAGAGTTCCAAAAACTTCTACCTGAGAAGATTTTGTGGCTTTGTAGATGGACGTTAAACTGTAATGGATGTGCATTAGGAAATACTGTTAAAATTACAGTCATATATTTTTCATGTCAGGCGTTTTTTTTTTTTTTTTAATCATTACTGTAAATGGATGCACTTCTTCACACTGAAAGAAAGGTAGGCTGTCACGCAATAGGTTTAATGGCCTGGCCCACTTGAAATCAAATTGGGCTGTAAGTGGCCCATTAACTAAAGTGGGTCTGACACCCTTGCCCTTGAGAGACTTTCTGCCTACACCACTTTGTGTGTGGAGGGATGTGCATGCATACACAGACACAGACATGGCTGCTTGGCTATCTTTGCGTGGACATTCAAAAACTCTCATCTAAATGCAATTCTGACTTTTACCCTAAAGCCAAGTCTTAAATCTCAAACAGGCTCTTTAAGGGGTGTGAAGAAAAAAAAGATATACGTTTTATGCACTCTTACAGTTTCAAACTGAAACTGGTTCTGACAAAGATAGCTGAACATGTGTTTATTCTGGTTTATTTATGTCTTGTATTTGGTTTCCTGTGAGTTCAGTCACTTGCTGAAAGCCACAATATGCTTCTTCTGCACAGCCACATGTAACTTTTGTTACTTATTGCATGCATGCGAGAGTTTTAATGGACATCTGCAACCGCTGCAACAAAAACAAACCAGCACTACACTCTCCCCAGTCGAGCACTGAACTAGCTCTGAATAATGCCTCTAATAGTTCCTCATACACTGCTCATTACTCCAGCAATAACAAACAGCCATCACAACACGCGAAACAAAAATGCCTAAATAAAAAAAGTATGCCATCTCTGGCCTTGCTGTACTTATTTATCTACTTAATTGTAGTTTTGAGCTTTTCATCCAAAGTCCCAGAGCCTTGTTTCGACAGGGTTTAATCAATTGGTGAATCTTAATTTTAAGACTGGAGATCAGAGGGGAAAAAGTTCCACTGACCCCTCATGCATATGCACGTTCCTTTTGTGTCCCTTTACATGCAAATTCAGCTGTAGAGTTAGACTTTTTAAACCAGCTGAAAGTAGCTCAAGACAGAGTAGAACAAAATGTGCCTGGGGGACGAGTCCTCTTCCCGTCTGTCAGTTGTGAAAATGAACATTTGAGAAAGGGAAGCGGGAGGGCCTGTAGGACAGAACTGAGCCTCTGTGGTGAAACAGTTCAGACCAGAGTGCTATTTCTCAATCCTGCTACATGCTGTGGCATCTGATTGGCCGCTAGTCCCCTCAGGTTCAAATGCTGGATCAGTGTGCTGATGGTTAATAATGAGGAAGCAGCTTAGCTTAGCACTTACACAGCTACTTATTTGCAGAGACGAGACGCCAGACAAAACCACTAATATTGTTCTCACGCAAGATACCAGCCTCTCTGAAGCACAAATATCATCAAAAAAAAGGAGGAAGTTTTTAATCTCAGAAACTGGGGGTGGTAAGTTGTGTGTGTTACGAGGGCAGGAGCTTGTGTGGGCCGTCACGGCAAAGGATGTGGGTAACAAATGTGCCGGAAATCCACCCTAAAGATAAGAGAATAAAACTCAAGGCAGGGTTTGAAAAAAACAAAACAAAAAACCAACTCCCAGCTTTATACGTATGCATGCATCTATATATCCATCTGTCTGGCAGTCTGTGTGTGTGTTTAATGGGGAGAGCGAGAGAACAGGTAACATGCAATATTGAGAAATGATGTCTGAAATAAAGAAGACAGAAATTGTCCTTTACATAGAAAATATAAAAAAGGAGTAACACTGAGGACCAAAGGGCGAAACATGCCCAGCGTGACTAAGATGACTCAGCTTTATTGCAAACCTGAGTGGCCGTCAGCTTCAACAGCGGAACAGCTAAATAAATGCAAAGCGCTGTAATCGCATCATAATCTGCATATCAGATAAAACTCCTGCATTTGGTTTCCCAGCAGCGGGGCACTGATACCTTCAGTCGTCTCTTCTATCGTCACTTTGTGGTTTTATCTGCCCCTTTCCTGTACGGTTCACAATTTCAACCCAACAGCTTGTTAGAGAACAGCCCAGAAACTATTTAGGAAGTGTGCGGATGTTTAATTTATAAAACTTGGTTTGTAGCTGCATCGGTTTGAAAGATTTAAAAATAATAAACATTTCATCCCAAAGTAACCGTTTCCTTAGAATAAAAGATTAATGAAAATATGCAAACAGCAACTTGAAGTACATATTAAAGCCTTTTTTTATTTGTTTGATAGACTGATGGGAGTGTTCAAAAGTGGGGAATTTGCAGCTACTGAGATTTTCATAT